GTGAGGGGAGGTTAAGTAAGTTGTCATCATCGAACATCTGGGAAAACCATCAGACGTGTCACTCAGAGACCCTCAGGTAGCGTCCATCTCTTAAATAGAATTAAGATGCTTATCCCCAGTTGTCAGGAACCCCCTTTAGGGCCTTTGTCCCTGTCTCTCGAGGGTGGTGAACCCTACCCCTGGGGCCCTGAGTATAGACCGGGTCGCTGGGTTTGCGGGGGGCGGGCCGCACACCTGCTGCAGGGCCTGTGTGTGTCCCCTGAGCTCTGAGGGACTCCGGCCGCTGGAGGCTCTGGGCCGCTCACTATTTCCAGTTAACCTGGGGCTTCCCCCCCCTTCTTGCTGCTGAAGTTGCCTTTCTTGGTGGTTTCCAGATTTTTCTGGTACTGCTGTAACTGAGCCAGACTTGGGGGGACTGGCTTTGTCTTTGCTGATAGAGCTTGTGCTCTGTGCGTGGTCACCAAGTTGCCCCAGGAGGAGTCAGAGCAGCAGGTTGAGGAAAGGCGGGCGAAGGTTGCAGACAGCAGCTCTCTGCCTCCCAGAAAGGGGTTGCTGTGAAGGCTGCAGCCTGTCTGTGGGGCTTAAGGCAGGTGCCTCCCCCACCGCCTCGTCTCCTGTGAGACCCAGAGGACGGCCCACTCCCCAGAATGGCCTCAACCTCTCCGTTGCTTCCGTGCACCTGCCAGGGTGGGGGGCAGCTGGGCTGGTGCACGCTGGCACCAAGCTGGACGGGGGGCGGGCGCGTCCCGCACTTGAGAAGTCTTTCCAAAGTCCCTTGACTCCAGCACTTAGCTACACGCAGAACGGCATCTTACACATGTTGGACAGAAATAAGAGGATCAAGCCGCGGCCGGAAAGGTTCCAGAACTGCAGAGACCTGTTCGATCTGATCCTCACGTGTGAAGAGAGAGTGTACGATCAGGTGGTGGAAGGTAAGGCCGCAGACCGGTTGTGCCCCACGTGCCTGGGTCACTGCTTCGCCCGTCACGGCCTCGGCGGCTGCCCTGGGCAACACACAGCTGCTTCCAGGGCTGGGGAAGGCGGACAAGGCCCTCATGAGGACGCCCCCAGCCCGTGTGGCCCGCCTGAGGACGGAGGTCGGGGTGGGAGAGCGCGGCCCTCTGCCGGTTGTGTCCATCTGTGCAAGACCACCCGCGTGTTGGCTGAGCACGCGGTGCAGGTTTTAGGGTCTTGGGGCGCATGGAGGGCGCCTGCGGAGTGAGGGAGCTGGGCATCTGGCGCTTCGTGAATGAACACACTGTTGGGTGCTCCAGCCCGGGGCAGCCTGGCTGCTCATGAGAAGGTGGCTGGTGTGTTGAGCTTGATGGTCCCCAGGTCTCCTTGAATCACCCCCACCAGGCTTGGAAGCGCTCAGGCCTGGCTGACCACCCCTGGACCAGGGACAGGTAGAGCAGGTGCTCGGGTCCTGTGGCCTCTGACCGCTGTGCTCTGTTCCCGGCAGATCTGAATTCCAGAGAGCAGGAGACCTGCCAGCCGGTGCACGTCATCAACGTGGACATCCAGGACAACCACGAAGAGGCCACCCTGGGGGCGTTCCTCATCTGTGAGCTGTGCCAGTGTGTGAGTGTCCGGCTCTGCTCTGGCCCAGAGCCAGGCCCAGGCCTGACCCGGGGTCCCCGGGAGCAGTCTGTGCTGGAGGGACATACCAGGACCACCTCCTCCTGACACAGGTTTTACCAGGAACGGGGCTGTCACGCGATTGGGTTCATGTTCATGTCGGGTTATTTTCGGGTGTCCGAAGCCAGGCCAGTGCCGATGCGGCTGCCGGTTTGCCCATCGACCGCGCAGGTTTGACTTAAGAACTTGCCTTTCGGCTTGTTGTGCAGTTGGTGGGAGCTCAGTGCCCTGCTCAGTGCCTGGCCATGTCCCTACCGAGAGCTCCTGCCAGAACTCTGATCAGGTCTAGCAGAGTCCAGGGGCCCCAGAGCTTCGTGGATGCTGTCGTGTCCTCTTCTTCACCCTCAGGACCTGTCGGTCATTGGCCTTCCCGAAGTGGCCCTGGGCATCCTCCCCTGTGTGGAAAACCGTAGGGGCTTTGTAGCTGCTATGTGGCTGTGCCCAGAGCAAAACATTTTCTCTTAAATGTGACAAAAGAACCTACCCAAGGAGAGAACCATACACCTTGCCCTCTGTTCCACCTGTGAGATCTGCATTTAAGTCAGCTGGCTCTGACGGAAAAATGAGGGAAACAAGTGGCTTAACTAGGAAGTCCAGAGACCCGCGGGCCTGGACTGGTTTGCCACGGGAGGGGCCCAGGTCCTCCTCTCCTGTTGCTTTCCACACAGCTTCTGTTCCCAAGATCCCTCAGGGCCCAGCATGGCTGCCGAAGCTCCAGGACTTGTGCCCATGTTCTGGCCATTATGCACGAGAAAGGACTGAAGAGGAGCACATGTCCCAGAAGTTGCACATGTGACTTCTATTTGGGTCACCCTGACGAGAAACGAGTCACAGAGGGGCTGCTCATCACTTCAGACAGGCACTGCTTATAGGCCAAGACTTAGGCCAGCCCACACCAGCCCTGAGTCAGCCTGGAGCCGGCCACTGGCCGCAGCTCCTCCTCGAGGGCAGTGGTTCTCCACCAGGGACACCTGGCCACATCCGCACACCTTTGTGGGTCTCACAACTTGGAGGGGACGTGAGGGGCGGCTGGAGCGTGGAGGCTACGACGGTGTTCAGCCGCACGGCGGGGTGTGCCTTTGAGCAAGTGGCTGCGCCTCTGCCCAGCGGGGGCAGGAGGCCCGTGCGCTCCCACGGTTTGTGTACTGGGCGCGTCTGAGGGCAGGCCTAGCAGCAGGTGCCCCGCCTCCCTCCCCTGCTGAGCTGCGGCCACGGCAGGCCCAGGGCAGGGGTGCATGGGAATGAGTGGGGAGACGGGTGAGGGGCAGCTCGGTGGGTGCTGGGGGCGGGCATGGGCCCGGGGCTCAGGGCGGCCCGCCTGCTCTCCCCAGATTCAGCACACGGAGGACATGGAGAACGAGATTGACGAGCTGCTTCAGGAGTTCGAGGAGAAGAGCGGCAGAGCCTTCCTGCACACGGTCTGCTTCTACTGACCCGGCGGGCCTGGCGCCCGGCGCGCCGCCCACCCCCCCGAAGCCATCTTTTCGAGCTTCCTTTTGTTAATACTTTTTCCTTCCTGATACTCATTTTTACTTTCAGGTGCTCTGCCGGCCGACGGCAGTGGTACCAATAGACTGTGCATAGGAAACGCAGAGACACAAATGCGCGGTTCAGAACAATCACGTTTTTTTCTCTCCCACGTGTACTTACGGGTGGGATGTTGATTATAAAGGTTTTTTTTTTTTTTCTTTACCCAAAACAGTAAACAACGGTTTATAGTACATTTCCCCCATGCATTTGTGGCTCTCGTTGTGGTTCCTTCCCTTCCACCCCCCGAACTTGCTGGAATGTACAAATAACCTGAATAAAGCATTGGGCTCTATCTTGCTGGGGAAGAACTTGCAGTTGTCCAATAAATCACCGTTGCTGGCCGTCTTTGCTTTGTCCTGAGTACCCGCCTGGCCTGTTCCTGCCGGCCTGGCACATGTCCCTCTGGAGGGATCCCTGGGCCTGACCCTGCAGCTCAGACTGCTTCTGGGGGGGGGGGGCGGGGACACGGGGTATGGGTGCACTGCCTGTGGGGCAGCCAGCTTCCCAGCAGTATCCCGCCGTCCTGCTGCCCACAGGGACTGCTGGGAGAATGGAGCCCTTCTCCCCGTGGCACCTTCTGGGGCTGAGATCAGTTGTCCCCCAGGTGGCCTTACTTCCCCACGATCCCTCCTGACCCATAGCTTGTGGAAAACCTCAGGTCCCCGTGGAGAAGTGTTGGGGACTCCCGCATAGGCAGTGCTGGCCTGCGGCTGTGGGTGACGGCTTGGCTCGGGCTCCTCCCCGGGATCCCGGGATCAGGGGGCAGCTTGCGGAGAGCCATGGACACTGGCCTGGACTTCCAGGCTGCCCAGTCCCCGTGCCTGGGGCTGACCCCTGAGAGAAGATGGTCCTGAGGCTGGCCTCGCCCCCACTGCGGGGCATCCTTTGGTCTTTGCTGGGCCATGTGGCCATGGCTTTGGAGTGACCTCCCTGCAGGGCCCGCCGCCAAAGGCAGGTACTTGCTGGAGGAAGCCTGATGCCAAGCAACGTGCGGGTGGCCCCGAGTCGCAGGAAGAGGGTCCGGGGAGGAACCCCAGGGCCCTCTCCAGGACTGCAGGGGCTGGTCCGGCGGTGGCCGCGGGGTCCGGGGGCTCTGGGCAGGCGACCAGGGCCGGGACGGGCCAGAGCCCGCCCTGCGGCCCCCGGGGAGGGGTCCGGCCCGCGGCGCGGGGCGGGGCGGGCGGGCGGGCGGCGCGGCCCCTCCCGGGAGGCGGGCACGGAGGGCGGGCAGGCAGCGGAGGCCGGAGCGGCGCCGAGCGCGCGGAGGG